ATTTAGAGAGTCTGGATGTACTAGAGCATTGCTCGTTGCCCGAGCGATTGAGAATTAGTTTTGGCATTTTGATGTTTTCGCTTGTCACGACTATTGTTGTGTTCTGCGGATTCATGAGTGCTCCAAGTAATTGTAGAGCATTTCTGCATGGATTGAAACCAGTCCTCGAGTTTCACAAGGATTGGTCGCTAGGATTCACTTCGGACGTTGGACTCCTTGAGGATGATTTCAGATTGGACGATTGTTGCGCTTTCGATTGTTTGCACTTCGGATTCGGAAAGGCGTTGTCGTTTTGGTCTTCGAGTATTGGCGTTCACGATTCATTGTCTCAGGATTCAGCGATTTCGATTCAGCGGGACTTTGAAAGCTTGCGAGATTCTTCGACTGTTCTACTACTTTAGTTGTGCTGGCTAGGCGTGTATCCCGAAGGGATTAAACTGCCGGTGAGACCGAAAGGTGTGAAATGGGCGGGAGGGTGAGGATTTTCAAGAAAGATGCCTAGCCAGCACAACTGAGCCAAATGTTCGCACGAACATAAAGTAGTAAAACAGATGTGAACAAGTACACTAACCGTTCTACTACTTTAGTTGTGCTGGCTAGGCGTGTATCCCGAAGGGATTAAACTCGACTAAGCGGAAGCTTTTTCATGGAGTGCCGTATGCCCACGAAGTCCGGGCTGCAAGTCCAGCAAGCATTAGAGGTTGATGGGTGGTCCAACCGCACCAATTTAGAACTACCCAGCAACCTCGCTAAGAAAAACACCCCGAATTTATGTGAGGTTGGTGGGCACTCCATGCGAACGAATTTGCCACGGAAGCTGCACAGACGAAGGTGAGACACTGATCATTGGCCGCGGTAGCCAAAGATCCTGAAGCGTAGCGGAAATGCGCTCGTGCTGCAAACAATCGTGAGGCAATGGATGCTCATGTGGTCTAGACAGAGCATCTGCTTTATCATTTGCTTCACCCGGTATGTGCGATACGTCAGGGGTGACTCGATGCACCGCTGCAAGAAGTGAAATTCGCTCCAAGAAAAAGCACAAGGGCTGACTGGTTGTCAAGGAGTCATTAACACCTGATTCCGCACCCGTGTTATCTGAAAGAGCTCTGAGTGTGATTGGGATGCAACTGCATGGAAGCAAGGCAGATGCCGCCAATATCAGCGCTGCCTGTGCGAGAGCTTCATAACACGAAATCTCCCTTGCCATATCAGCTTGAACCCCAATGCCCAAAGCTAGGAAATCAGCGTGAGCAAAGGTTTGTTGAAACCAGCGATGACCTAAAGAGGGGTGGCGCACGTAGCCACCTATGCAGCAATGAGAGCCTTTGGCACTGGCATCTGCACGTGCATCAAATAGAGGCGTGGCAGGCTGCCGCATCGAGCGGAACGGTGACATATGCAACAGCCAATGCTCGAATATGCCAAGAATGCGCAGCGAGTGCAAGCACAATTTGCGCTTCTTGCTGTTCTGACTAGAAACCCGAAGCCAAAGCCTACGTTCAGAAACCCGAACTGTCTCAAGATCCTGAAGGGAGTGCAAGGCTTGGTGACGTGCCGAAAGCAGTTTGGAGCCGGGAGGTATCCCCGTACCTGGCGGCGTGACTGTGAAAAGCAGATCCGGCGACAAGTATCTAGCGATTTCATGCCAGCGCTCTGGCGGAATGCTGTAGTTCGTAGCAGCTGGGCTGTAGAGATCGTGATAAAAAGTATGCAGCATGCTCTTCATGACCGGAAAAAGGCTTGTAGCCCACAGCGCTAAGCCAATGAAGCGTTCCAAGTCCTTTTTCGTCAAGCGAGGGTTTTTACGCAAATCTTGCACCATGCCCAGCAGTTTCAAGCGTTTTGATTCTTTAAGCAACACAATACCGGCAGAGTACTGAAAGTCCCAACCTATCCAAGTGACCCGAACAGAAATCTGCAGTTTGTGCCAGGAAAGAGGCACACCCATGATCTGCATGAACATGCAAATCATGGCACTTGTTGCTGGAAGAATGGACATCGCCTGAGAAAAGAGATAGTCATCTACAAACAAATGGCCTGTGTGGGCTATGTAGATGAGAATATGCAGAATGCGAAGGATGCATGAGCCGAGGCGCCCCCACCAGTGCTGGGCAAACGTGGCTCCAAATGGGCATGTGCGATAGAAATAGAGGGCATTTGACCCGTCTGGTTCCTCACATGTGAACCCAAGCAGTCCTTGTTCCGCATCTTTGACAACGCAGCGCTTATGAGCGCTTTTGATGTCAATCGAAAGTGCCCCCTGAATCTGCGAGCATTCACGCAGGGGATAGGAATGCAAGACGTCTCGAGCTGAAGGCATGTGCTGCTTCTCAGGCACGGTGCAATTCGCGTTTGTGCCACAAACCGAATTATCAAGACAAAGCCTTTCTGATCTACCAGGAGCCCTAACAACCGAAAGTTTGCCAAGCGCAACCCCTAGGGGCCAGCGTCGCTGGGCATCGGCCAACGATCCGTTGAATTTGAAGCAAAAACCTTGATCGAGTTCTTCTTGAAGCAGTCTGCGAGTAACAGAGGGATCCATTGTAGCGGAGCGCCAATTCTGCAAGTGAATCGAAAGTGGTATGTCATCTAAAGATTCACGAGTGTTAGGCCAAAAATTGTGTGAAGGCGGGATATCCGACTGAAAGCCTGTTGGAACGCCTGCTTTCAAAGCTGGGAACAAAGTTGTATCAGCGTCGCAGCATGTTTGAGCAACAGCTTCCAAGGCATTCAAACAGAGAGGCTGATGTTCCCGCTGTAACCAAGCAGCGGCCGGAGCCGCAACGCCTAATGCCGAGAAGAACCCTGCCCTAACCGAAGCAACCTCTGAAGCTGAGAAAAGCGGTTCTTTGCTGGGCTCATAGCGACGCTGAAGCAGGCGGGAGGGGCCGTTCATGGATGCAGTGGCCTTAAGCAAGAAAGAGCGCAAGTTACGCAACAGATCTGGCGTGCGGGGAGCGCTCCAATCAGCGTGCGAATGACGACCCGCCCCATCATGAACTGCATATGGTAACTGATCCATGGGCTTACGTGGCACCAGTGTGAGGGCCTCGCGCAATTGCAGTGCAGGGCCTGGTTTGTCCAAGAGAACTTGAATCTGAGCAGCAAAAGTGGTTGCAAGCGCCTCTGGATACTGAGCTGTAAACCTGCTTCTGAACACGCCCGAGCTGTCCAGACCGCGCATGACTTGATGTGAATCACGCCCATGCTCGCAAACACAGCCCATGTTCCGTAATGGCGCATAGCTGGAAGAAAACAACCAGGATTTTGCCCAAGGCAGGCCATAGCCGCACGCAGCCACCCAGACCAGAGAGGCTGAGCATTCATGAATCCAGGACTGTAGGCAACTTTCTTCCCAGGACATTGCTCCTGGAGGTTGTTCAACATGACCGTGTCCACCTGCTGAATAGACTATGGAGACACATTTGCAGCAGCGAGACAGGATTTCATGGCTTTCCTGGAGTTTAGCTAGGTCCGAAGGACCCAAGCCAGGTACCCCATCCAGGTATTCCGGTGTGCGAAGCGGGAAAGGTGGCCCACCTGAAAGCTTCAAACGCGAGTAATGCGAGCAACTTGGAGATGCTGCGCAGTATCCCACAGCGCCTGAACCGCAAATGAACAGAAGCTGCTCGAAGAAATCATCTTGCAGCAAGTCAAAAGCTGGGTCCAAAAGAATGTCAATAGAAAGCGTAGCAAGACCACACGCTTCCACAGCGCATGAAAGTGGCTTGTGCACCCCCGAGCATAAGTCGAGGAAAAAGCGCTGAGGGATGTTCGCTAGAGCATCCAGTGCATGCGAGGAACTCTTTGGGGGCGGGACCGGCAGTGGAGGTCTTAGGGAGTGGTGCCTAAACCCGAAAGCCGAAGGTTGACCCCAATTAACAGAAGACCCTGAAGCAGCTGGTTGTGGCTCGGCCCGCTGCAACATCGGCGGGCGCTCAGAAGGCACCTGGGGCGGGGATGCAATGGTAGGGAAATCGAGCGGGCCAAGAAGGGCATTTTCACAGTTTGCCATAGTGAAGGCTGTCAGGACCCAACGTTCCCCACAGAAGGGTTCTGTCATATGCCAGGAATGAGCCGGAAACTTGATGGGGTTTTCTTTCGTGCTAAATTTTCCCCTTAAGCGAGGTGTTAAGCATTGGTATGAAGCGCGACTGGTCGCCTGATGCATCCTCAAGCCAAAGCGAACCCCCAGAGAAGGAACCCAAGCTAACCGAAAGATTGAAAGATCCCGGCACATTAGCAGTATCTCTATGAGCAGAAGTGACCACATTCTTGGCCACGCACAGCGCATTCCAGGAATCTGCTGGGAACTGTAAGCGCAGAAAATTATTGAGGGCTTTGCACACAGACGGCAGAGCTCGAGACACACGAGTGAGTGCCGAACGATCGCTGACCTGACAACCAAAGTTCCAGTAGCCTGATGATACAGAATTTGCCGAAACAACTGGGCGAGACTGCGAGCCTGGCGGTGGCCAAGAAGCTGACTGAAGTAGCGCTAGGCATGAAGCGTAATCATGAACATGAACTTCAGAAGCAGAGGCCACTGATGTGGTCGAGGTTTGCAATGCACTGCTGTGTGTACTGTGAAGCGAAGCTGAACCCTGACGCACGCCCGCAAGATGCGGAGCGTTTGGAGCAACATGCTCCGATGCTATGCCCGACCCGGGCACCACGCCAGGGAAAGATTCCCTGCAAGAAGCACCTCCGAACTCCGGAGCAGAAGCGGTAACGCATGGTGATGAAAGCGAAGCTGGGTGTTGTGTTGCCAAAATGGCTGGTGAAAGCTGTTCCCTGCACGGGGAAGCAAAAGCAGGTCGAGAACTCGCAGGTGTCGCATGAACACGTAGCGGGTCCTGACCCGAAGACTGTAGGACACTAGAAGCACATGAATTCGAAGCTGGCAAGTGTGATGAAAAATGTTGCAGCTGAGCTGAGGCGGCCGGTCCTAGGAAGCCAGCCGGCCTGGAGGCCGGTGAAACTAGCACATTTTGGGATTGTCAGTGCGAAGTCGAAGCGTGGTTGAGGGCATTGTGGGCCTTGCTCATGCATGCGGAGCCATCACCCTTCGGGTACGCACAGTTGTGCAAGAATGCACAGCTCGCACCCCTGCTGCATTTCCCGGATTGCCACTGCATGCACAATTGTTTGGTCTCGCCATTGACCTGAACATGCTTCACCCAGGAGCCCGCACCCCCTTTGCCCGAGGGTTTGCCTTTGGAGCCTTTTTCCTTGCCGGGGCTTTTGCCTTTGCCTTCAAAGCTGTAGCCCTTCCAATGTTCCGACATGAAGCGACCAAGCCCTTTGCCCTTGATGCCTTTCTCATTGAAGCGCAGGGGCGGTGGGGGTCTAGCCCTTGCCTGAAGCAAATTTGACATGTCACCCCTGATTTCAGTATACTCGAAGATTGCATCGTTCAAGTTCCAATCCTTCTCAAGAACCAGAGCGTAAATCCCCTGCCACAATTTGCAATCAGCCTGCTGGGCCTCTAGAATTGTGGGAGCTCGCAAGCCTGATGAAGCTTCGTGGCGCTGAGACAAAAGATGTATGAACTTGCTACTATAAGCTTTCAGGCGAGCCAGGTGACAAGAGCCTACCATGGCCAGTGCAACATCGTGGATTGCTAAGATCCTTTGCACTGCACTGACCCCCATGAAGTTATCGCCCACCTCCAACGTGGGAGGCTCATCAAGAAGCAAACTGGAAATGCCGAGCGCTTCCAAACGCGGCTGTTTGGCTGGCCTACTCAATTGAAGCTCGGCTGCTTTCTCTTCTGACATGCGATGCTTCCAGGGAATCCACTTGTAGTCTTTCTTACTTTCTTGGTGAGCAGCTAGAGATACCAGACGAAGCGAAGGCATTGAGCATGGAGACAATATCTCGCTCGTGTATGCAGCAAGAAAGGCTTTCTTGTACTCCGTAAGCTTCAAAGCTGTGATTTTTTTGGCGCGAAGGTTTCTACCCAAGAACTAGTTTCTGAAGCTGATGTGGGAACTGCAGGCGGGGCCGAAGATGCGCTGCTCGACAACCCAGCCCACGCTGCTCGAACTTGCGCAATCTGAAGACGGGAAAGCTCTGAAGATCCAAATATGTCTGGAATCACTTTCTCAAGATCAGCTGGGGAATCCGCCGCATGGCGGAAGGTGGACAAAGTCCACCCCGCATCGGTTGCCACCTTGATGAGAGCTTCCGAGAGGCCTTCAGCTTTAAGAATATAGGGACATGGCGCGAGACTACCCCCTAGTCTAGAGAGCCCAGAAACCGAGGGAACCCGAGCCGAGACTACAGGGACGCGCGAGGCCTAGGCCCAGAGCGTGAAACAAGTACGCATATTCAGCATTTTATGGCCGGGTCGGCTAGTAGCCCTGCGACCGACCGCAGCCCAGGATAATGGTAACGCATAAGTGCAGCCCAAAATGCTTTCTGAAGCCAAGAAGAGCAAGCAACAATGCGCATATTCATCAGCGTGACCCGAAGTCCGAAAGCCCACGGCTGAGGCCCAGACCAGAGCCAAAGACGGAGCACAACCAGAGAAGCCCAACGCAACTGAAAACCCTGGAGTAGCAAAGCGGTTGCAACCTGCCCCCAATGACATTTTTTCAACCGCTCACCTGCAAGGCAGCCGATACTACTGATACAGCGGAATTCTGAGACGGTGCCAAAAGTAATCTGATGTTTGCAACAGCTGCCGCCATGACCAGCTGGAGAGATATTGAAGCACACGCGCTGATTCCCGTATTGATTGTACCAGATGAAACCAGTCTGCAAAATGGAACCGAACAAAGCGAGATGCGTAGGGAAGCCGCACCAGCCTGAGGAGTTGGGCCCGTCGATCAGCGGTGGTTTCCTGCAGTTCCATGCGATTGCAGAGCTAACCTGAGCGTCACGAGAAGCAGGAATGGTTTGAGCCAAACAACTACTTCGTAACAAATGCGAACCAAAGGACTGAAGCAGACGCAAAGCAGACGCAACTCGAGCAAGCTTATGTTTTAGCACCTGCGCAAAATGCGACTCACTGCTGAAGCTGGCCATATGCAATGCAGCAGGCCTTACGCTTGCAAAGCTGAAGCTGAGGATTGAAATCCGAAGAGATGCGAATGTGATCAGCTGGAAGCGAAACTCCACATGCTGGCCTGACAAATGCACCATCATAAGGAATACCTTTTGATGCAGAAGCACGAACCAACACATGCTGGATGTTCGTCAATGAACCGAAGAGAAACTCATCCGCAGGCCCAAGCAGTGGCCCTTCATCCGCCGAGCTGTCGCCCGACTCCTCATCGGAAGACTGGATGTCCCGTAACTGAAAAGCCGGCACTTGCTTCTGCTGATCCTCCGGGAAATTTTCCTTGGAGGGAAGATCTACAAAAGGAAGTCTATTGCCAGAGCGAAGCGAGAAATGCCGAAAATAATGCCAGCTGCAGGGCCCAACCTCCTTGCTGTAGTTTTCCAACTGGACGTCCGGTTCGTCCATAGGAGATTGCGCTCCCCTATGTAAGGGGGTCATGAAGCGAGCGCCCGAGCGGACAGCATGCTGGATCTTCATCTGTGCCCTAAGGGATGGGACAATATCATCCCTGCTGTAAAGTTGGCTCGAAGAGAGCCGATGATGGCCTTGACAGGACTTCTCAAGCTGGGATACCTCCGGGCGCTGGCCAGACCATGATAGCATTGTAGTTTTGAGCGAATGTATTGTATAATTTAGCGTCGGTGAAGATACTGAAGACGGCCTGCTACTTTTCCAAGGTAGAGTAATCACGTGACGCAGATGGCGAAGCGCAGCAGCGTAGCTCATCGGTTGCAAGGGTAAAAGTGTATTGCCTGAACTGTCCAGCGAGAGCAAGAGGCTCGAAGGCAAGGGAACCCCAGCATGGAGGGTAAGATGCTGATGTACTGCATTGTCCAGCGCCTGCAGAAAACGGTGGCACCACGAGTGATTGCCGTAACTCAAGAATCCATGGCACAGCAACCCGAATGGTTGACCAAAGCTGGTTGTCTTTGTTTGGAAACAGCTCCCGCGCAATGATTGCCCATCGTAAGCCAAGGAAGTGAGCTTAACCCTTTGGCCATCCATAAATCTCAGAGATGCCCAGATAAGCACCAGGAAAGATCCCAGCAGAAGGATCTCGGGATCGGTCGCCTCTCGGGAGAGAATCCTTCTTTCAATCTGGATGACCACATAGAGTGATAGTGGCACTGCTTCCTTTCTTTCGCGGGGAAGCTTGCTCTGAAGAAAACTGGCAATGATTTGCGAGTGGCTCACTGAGAGACATGCCACCTCAAGCATTTTGTAAACCCAACGAACAGCTTTGATCGCAGTAGAAGAGTGAGAACCAGCTTCAGGATCAGAACCACGAGCCAAACTCATCACAACCAATACATCAGCCATTTGAAATGAAGTGAGAGATTCAAGTGGAATTTGCATATCGCGCAAAGTGGCCAAGAATTGCTTGAACGCAGAGCAATAACGAATCACTGTCGATGCCACGCAAGGAGAGAGCAAGCGAGGCAAGTGATCTTGCTTGCTCCCTGCAAGGCCCTGGCCTATGACACTCAGGGACCCCAGCGACAAGATGATTGTTAAGAAGGCTTGTCTAGCAAGCGGAGACTGCGAAGCATTCACACTGATGCCAGCTTGGAAGCGTTGCTTTTCGGAAGGGGCAGGGCCTATCCTAGAACCCGAAGACTTAAAGGCGGCAGCGGCTTTCTGAAGATCGTCAAGCTCTGAAGAGGAAGCCAAACCTAAACCCAAGGGGACCCCAAGAGAAGACCCAGGCTGGTTATTCAAGGCTGAGGCCGGCAGAGCATCAGGCTCCCGACTTGTCGGAGGCTCAGGAAGTTCCAGGCCTTTGGCGAGCAAGGGCGGGGCTAGAGTTCTGGGCTGAGGTGTTGGGGCCGGCAAGGCGGCACTTGAAGCGGGCAATTTCGGGAAAGTGTACTTTGAAGTGAGGTCAGGATCAGCGGGTCGTTTCATGCTCACAAGCCTGCCGTCTCAAGAGATGCCACTCTAGCACGCAAGCTATTGATCTCGTCTCTGGATTCTTCAAGCGCCCGCAAAAGCAACAAGCAGCAGCGATTCAGGCGAGTGATTTCACGCTCACAGCGGCTCACACGCAAGAGTGCACGTTCTATTCTTGCAAGACGCCTACCGAACTGGTTCAGCCACCGACAGAGCAAATCAAGATAATGCTGATGACCAACGCTCTGCACAGAAAGGGCATCCACTGTGGACGCTAGCTCCGCACTTGAAGCCATGGGCCCACTCTTGGGGCAGAAGCTCCCCCCGGGCGAGAGGATACTACAAAAGAAGAATGTGTAAAAATTGTTTGCAAGATGTGAAGTCCAAGCTGCCAAACATGTGGTAAAAAGATGTCCGCAACAAGTAAAAGCAAAGCTTTTCGTGTCATTATTTTCAAGAAAGATGCCTAGCCAGCACAACTGAGCCAAATGTTCGCACGAACATAAAGTAGTAAAACAGATGTGAACAAGTACACTAACCGAGCATCGTTCTGCTCTCTACCAAGAGCATTGGAGCAGGTATATTGATCCTCTTGGAAACGTTCAGATTGTTCTGTGTCAAACTGCACATTCATCATTCTGCATTGAGGCCAAGGAAATTTTGGAGCAAGGTATTGTTGTGGACAGACCCAGTGATGAGATTGAGCTCTTCAGGATTGAAAGCGATTCTGCTATTGATCTTTGGAGCTTGATTGAACACTTTCTTTTAGCGTGCAGATTGCAGCTGAATTATTGTCACAATACCATTACACATTCAGCATGGTCACTTGTACCATTGCCCAGTCTCCAACCATTGCTTAGCTATTCACCATCACCACCTACCCGACTGTCACTTCATTCCGTTTTGCATGATGGATTCCTCCGTTGCTGTCTCCATCATCATTGTTCATTCTTCGGTTCTTGTCAGCTCTATATTGCATTGACTTTGCGTTACGTGGATTGCATCATCGAAATTCATTGCAAGTCATTGTACCTCATGTTACCATTGCCAAGGCTGCCGTACAAGACTGAGCTCGAAAGCGGCTGGCCAAAACTGGTACCACGAGCTGCCATTGAGCATGCGTGTCGCAATTGTATGTCACGACTTAATGTAATAGATCTTGTCCCAATAGATTGTCTGCTGTACATCGCATTGTCGCGACGGCCGATGCTGATGTCGAGTTATGCAGTGCGACATATTGCGGACGAGCACACATTGAGCATGGACATCGCAATTTGTTTTCCACGATTCATTGCAATAGAGTTTGCCATAATAGATTGCATTTGCATGTTGTACTTGAGAACTGCAAAAAAGGCGCTGTCTCAAGGACTATTGCAGCTTTGCCCATGGCGACCATCTTGCATTGTTGACGGTTATCACAATCTGATTGTACCACTTCTGACGAAGAGATGCATTGTCTTTCACGTTTCCATGGACATTGTTCAAAAACTACTGAAAGACGTGTTACAAACTCTAGGAGCGCTACCACAGATTGATTGCACGCGTCGCCATCTCAAGCCGAGGGACCGAGATTGTAAAGATTGTCTTGACATTCGCGTTTATGTTCATGATTTTCTTTTGCGTTTCATGGAGCATTTTGCTCATGTCATTGATCGATTGCGGCTTTTCGATGTCGCTCGCTCACACATGTTTGCATTGCAAGTCGACTGCTTTGTTGACATTAGGGAGCATTGACATGATTCAGAATGAGCTTTGCATTGAAGATCGAAGACATTGCGTCAAGAGACGTCATGGACTCATTTCTTTGACTGCGATTTTCTCTGCTGATTGTTATTGTTACGTTCGGCATTCTGAGTATTGTTGCCTCGTTTCCATCTACTTGTGCATTGAGCCTTTCATTGAGCTGAAGCGAACTTCTTGTGATTATGCGGCTATTCACCTTTCTTTGCGATCCTGCTTCTTGATTGATGAAGAACATTGTTGCGCATTAGGATTGCATGTTTCTTACGCACATTTATCACTTCGAGAAGATTGCGAAATTTGGCTTGATTGTGATCTTGCTCATTGCGTTGACACTCGCTGTCACTCATTCCGACGGTTGGACACATTGGATGTGAGAGAGCCTCAGAGAGAGTGTGATTGTCGAGAGACTTGCAGACTTGAAGTCATGTGCCACATTGATCTCACCTTGAAGATTCTCAGGAAGGAATCTATCATTGACTCTAAGGTTGTGAGTTCGATTCTCACTCACCACGCGGATTGCGTTGATGAGACCCAAGCGGAGTCATTGTTCCTCTGTGTGTTCGCTGAGGAACTGAGAGATTGTGGCGACAAGTCTGGAGATCCATTGAGACTAAGGTCACTTGTCTCATTGAGATCGCTGTATGCGATTTCACTGTGGTATTGCATTGGCCTTATCTCTGATTGCAGTTGTGTCGGACTTTGTTTATCATTGTCACTCACTTGCGTTCACCTCTCGACCGTCATGAGATCATTGGTGGAGCGATCCGTCCATTGTCACCCAGAGCCTACTATTGTTGATCTCAGGTCATTGTGCTTGTTCATTCTTACCATCATCTTTTTTGAGTGTTTTGATTGCCATCACTCCTTTATTTTGGTTCTTTTCTATTGTATCTATGAGCATGACATTGATAGCACGAACTGGATGATTGGAAGAGACCATTTGATCCATTGTCACGTCTCCGGTGCTCTAGCCCTATTTGAGCACTTTGGCAAGACTTGGCATTGCCTTTGCTATTCTCGACTGACTAAGGAATTTTTCGGATTGACCAAGGAACTTTCGATGAGACATTCCTGCGTGCTCCTGAGCATCGTTCCATTTAAGAACACATTGACATACCGCAGGCAGATTGTAATGACGCGTCCCGAACTTCACAGGACTGTTAGTTCGACTCATTGCCTGTTTGAGCATTCCTTGTTTGTCCTCAGATTGCGGACTGCTGGAGCATTCGTTGCTCCGTGTGTTTGCACTGAAGATTGGCAGTTCATTCTTCTGTCATGTGTTGTTGAAAGGAATCATTGCCCTTTCGTTCATCATTCTGACTGCCTCCACTGTTTTGGTCGTTTTCGTCTTGAGATCCTCATTGTATCATGTGAGTTGATCTCGACTGTGTTCGACCACCACTTCATTGAGAAAACCCCAAAACCAAACAAACATTGTTTCATCTGTATCACCAAGGAATTGACTCATGCCTTCAGTGATGCAAGGACTGTCATTGTTCAAGGGACCGTCTTTGTATTGTGTTGGATAGACTCCACTCATCTGAAGAGAGTCCATTGCTTGTCTTACTGAGGCAGAATGCACTTTCCTCACAGTGCGTATTGCACTATTGAAATAAAAAAGAGGTGAGAATTGAGAGAATTCTTCATGAGCTCAGCATGTGCATTGGCAAGACTTTATCATTCCTGTTGTGGACGATTGACCAGGAAGATTTTCTTGGAAGGTCTCGGACCAACCATTGTATTTGAATTGCAAGAAACAAGAATTCATTGTT